GAGGGTGAGAGTGTCTGGGGGGGCTAGGTGGGGACATGGGGGAGGGGTGTATTTAGGGGCATGGTGTGGGCAGGGGGAGGCTGAGGTCGTCAGATTTATTACCAGGCTGAAAAGAGCTGGAGAACTCAGCCGAGATGGTCAGGGTGTCCCCAAACCTCCAACTGGGCGAGGGGCCGGGTGGCTCGGTGATGCCTTGTTGGCTCATGCCCTTTGCAGCACCTGGCCCTGTCTGCCAGAGACAGGATGGATGCTGGGCTAGATGGACCATTGCTCTGACCTCAGAGGGCTGGGGCTGTTCTTACGTTGCTATGCGTGTGGGGGTCTAGCGCTGGGCAGTGTGCGCTGGGGTGGGTGTGTTGGGGGATGGGCGTGGGTGGACAGGCTGGGGGATGGGATGAGCGGGAGAGGCTGGTGTGTGTGTGTCTGGGGGCAAGGGAGCTGAGGTGAGAGTGCTGGCAGGTGGCATGGGAGGGGAAATGGAGTGGGTGGGGCTGGGCTCAGTGTGTTTCAGGGTACAGGGAGGGTGGTGGTTACATTTAGGGGGAAATGGGTTGGGCAGGGGAGGGTGGGGTATGTGCCTCTGGGTGGAGGGGGTGGGTAGCTGGGGATTGCATTTCACTGATTTTCACTGAATGAGCTTGATCTAGCTTTCATTAAGGGGCCAGGAGTCTTTCCAGTGATTTTAGTGGGCATTTGATTAGGCCCCAAAGTCAAAGTTCAGCAGTTGTATTATACTGGTTGTGCTGTGCTTTGCTCTGAAAATGTGTGTAAGAGAAGATTTGGCTTTAGGTTTTAATTTAAATTCACTATTCTCTTTCTCTCTCTCTCCGCTCTCCCTCCCCATATTAGCAGCTGGAATAAATTGTTAAAGCTAAATTCTACATTTCCTTTAAAAAACAAACAGCTCTTAACACTTCATTCAGCCACACACAAACTATTTGCAATCCTGTATATTGGGTTAGGGATGTGAAGGACTAGTCAACTAGTCGACTATCTGATAAGCAAATGCTTTTCAGATAGTCGACAGAGTAGTTGACTAGTTGCTCCCCTCTATGAGAAAGAGGCAGTAAGAGGGGGAGGAGAAGAGGGTACTTCAAAGCGGCAGCGGTGCAGGCTCCACACAGCACTGCCCCTTTGAAACACTGCATGCAGCCTGGCCAGCTGGGGGGTTTCCAGGCAGCACCCCTTTGAAACACTGCATGCAGCCTGGCCAGCTGGGGTGTTTCAAAGCGGCAGCGGTGAAGGCTCCACACAGCACTGCCACTTTGAAACACTGCATGCAGCCTGGTCAGCTGGGGTGTTTCAAAGTGGCAGCGCTGGGGGGAGCCTGAGTCAGTGGGGGAGACGGAGGCACCCTATTGACTAATCATATACTTGATGCATTTTGCATCGACTATTCGATTAGTCAGTTACTCGAAATTTAGGCAGTCTGGGGGTGGGAGCGTGGTGGGCGCATGGGGAATGCACTGAGCCTGGGAAGCAGGCCTCGCCGGAGCGGGGGTTGTGTCTGGGGGTGCTTTGTGTGTCTTTCTAATGGGTCTCTTGTTGCAGAGCCGCCCGGCTGCCCATCGCAGCTGGCAGTGGAGGACGTGAATGATAACTCGGTGTCTCTGGCATGGAAAGCCCCAGAGCAGACCGGCTCTGCTGCCCTAGATGGATACCTGGTGGAGTGCTGCAAAGATGGAAGTAAGCTTGGGCTTTGCTCCTCTACAAGCACGGAGAGCTGTGTGCACATGGGAAAGATCATATAACACGCTGGCTGGGAGCCCCATGTCCCGGACTTGCGGACAGGCCGCACAGTGGAGGAGAGCTCTTCGTAGCGGATAAGAGCTTACTGTTGCTGATAGATAGTGGATTTACTCCAGTAACTCAGCTGGAAGAGGGCCATACTTTTGATGTTGAAGGCCACAGGTTTAATCTCCAATGAGGGCTCGTGGGGGAAGTGTTGCTGCCATGGGCTATAACAACTTGCTTACACTGATGGGTATCTACACGGGGAACACATTTTTAATGAGAAGATCTTCAGGCTGGCAGAGGAAGGCCAGACACAATGATTAACAGGCGTGTTGAGAGCAAGACACGAGGAGTCTTTCTTCCACTCTGCTCTGCACTGATGAGGCCTCAGTTGGAGGATTGTGTTCAGTTCTGGGTGCCACATTTCAAGGAAGATGTGGAGAAAATGGAGAAGGGCCAGAGAAGAGCAACAAAAACGATGAAAAGTCTAGAGAACATGACCGATGAGGGACGACTGAAAGAACTGGGCTTGTTTAGTCTGGAAAGGAGAAGACTAAGGGTACGTCTACACTAGCCCCCTAGTTCGATCTAGGGAGGCTAATGAGGGCGACTGAAATTGCAAATGAAGCGGGGATTTAAATCCCCCCCGCTTCATTAGCATAAAAATAGCTGCCGCTTTTTTCCGGCTCGGAGCTTTGCTGGAAAAAAGCGGCAGCTATTTTTATGCTAATGAAGCGGGGGGGATTTAAATCCCCCCCGCTTCATTAGCATAAAAATAGCTGCCGCTTTTTTCCGGCTCGGAGCTTTGCTGGAAAAAAGCGGCAGCTATTTTTATGCTAATGAAGCGGGGGGGATTTAAATCCCCGCTTCATTTGCAATTTCAGTCGCCCTCATTAGCCTCCCTAGATTGAACTGGGGGCTAGTATAGACACCCTGAGAGGGGAAAGGATAGCGGGTTTCAAGTATCTAAAAGGGTGTTACAAGGAGGAGGGAGAAAAATTGTTCTCCTTGGGCTCTGAGGACAGGACAAGAAGCAATGGGCTTAAACGGCAGCAAGGGAGGTTTAGGTTGGACATTAGGAAACACTAAGGCTGTGTCTAGACTGCATCCCTTTTCCGTAAAAGGGATGCAAATGAGACATATCACAATTGCAAATGAAGCGGGGATTTAAATCTCCCCTGCTTCATTAGCATAAAAATGCCTGCCGCTTTTTTCCAGCTCGGAGCTTTGCTGGAAAAAAGCACCAGTCTAGACGCGGATCTTTCATAAAATAAAACCTTTTCCGAAAGATCCCTTATCCCTCATTTTAAGATCCCTTATCCCTCATTCCGAAAGATCCGCGTCTAGACTGGTGCTTTTTTCCAGCAAAGCTCCGAGCTGGAAAAAAGCGGCAGCCATTTTTATGCTAATGAAGCAGGGGAGATTTAAATCCCCGCTTCATTTGCAATTGTGATATGTCTCATTTGCATCCCTTTTACGGAAAAGGGATGCAGTCTAGACACAGCCTAACTGTCCTGTTGGTGAAACACTGGAATAAGTTGCCTAGGGAGGTTGTGGAATCTCTATCTCTGGAGATATTTAAGAGCAGGTTGGATAGACATTGATCAGGGATGGTTGGTGCTTGGTCCGGCTGTGAGGGCAGGGGACTGGACTTGATGCTCTCTCGAGGTCCCTTCCAGTTCTAGTGTTCTGTGATTCTATGAGCCAGCATCTGGAAGTTGAGGTGAGACAAATTCATCCCGGAAATAGGGCGTCCCGTTTTAATGGGGAAGATAATCAACCATGGTGACAACTGACCAAGAGTTGTGGCGGATGCTGCAGCAGCGACTCTTTTAAAATCCAGAGGGGGTGTTTCTCTAAAAGCTCTGCTCGGGGAATTGTTTGGGTGCAGCTCTCTGGCCAGTTTCAGGCACAAGGCTGGGTGGTCACAGTGGTCCCATCTGGCTTTGGAATCTAGGAGCCAATCTCTCTTCCTGAGCTGCCTGCTGGAGTCAGGATACGGGATGGGAAGAGCTGGGTGGTTCCTTGTTCTCGGCTGGGATCTCTGAACATCTGAATCACTGTGATGCAGGTCTGGAGGCCAGGAAGCCATAATAACATCAGGAGGAGGAAAAAGGTTGCAGAGGAACAGCGGGGGCAGGGAGGGCGTTAGGGGCAAAGAGCAGAGCAAGAAGAAAATCAGTCCCCAATTTTCAAACATTTGTGCCACACTTCACAGCCCGGTGGCTCAGCTCCTCAAAGGGATTTAGGCACCTAATGTCCATGGGAGCCAGGTGCCTAAATACCTTACAGCCGTGGTGTCCAATCAGTTCTGAAGAGAACTAACCACACTCAATAGCCACATGTGTCTAGTGGCTAGTGTATTGGACACCACGTCCTTAGAGGATCTAGGTCTGTGTCTCTATACGAGCACCTGATATTCAGTGGTCTATTGAAATCAGGAGGACCTGCAGCTGCCCATCTCTTTAGGTGTCTAAATGTAGACATCAATCCCTAATTTGCAGCACCCAATTTTGAACCTTTTGGCATTTGTGCGTGACCAGCCGATGCAGCATATTTTGGCTTCACACTCAGGATTGTCAGTGAGGGGTGGAGCCCTGCAAATCCACGGACATCCACTTTATATCCACGGGGATTTGCACCCCCAGCTATGGATGCGGATAGCTGCGGCTCATTTTCGCAGAGACCGATGGGCATGCAGATACACAGTTGGTATCCACACAGGACTCTAGAGATGGGCAGGGCAGGAAGAAATATTTACATCACCACCAGCACGCACCTAGTACTGAATTGTGCAGTGAAGGAGACACAGAACTGGCCACTAATCCAGCCACTAATCCGGGGTGGCTGCTTTGGGAGGAGACTGCTGGGTCTTGGAGGCCTCTTCCAGGCTGGGATGTTTCCGGTTGGCCACATGGCTGGCAATCCTGGCTTTTGGCAGCTCCCAAGTCTTGGCCATCTAGCAGATTAGAAGCATTGTGCTCCTGCACTGTGGCCGGTTGACAGCAGCTGATTAGCTCTGGCTGAGAATGGCCACGAAGCCCTAGCTTAGCAGATGTCCGAGGAGTCCTAGTCGATTCCTTGTTTTAGTGGCACTGTCACAGAGCCCCAGGTAGTTGGGCTGGGGGGGCAAGGGCAGGTAGATCTGTTTGTTGGGGTGTTCAACGAGCCCTGTGGTGCCAACTCACCGGCCACTGGAGGTGTCACCAGCTACACTGCTGACTCAGTGGGACTCACACAACTGTCCTGCCCTGAGGGGGAAGCCGCAATGCACTAGCTCCTGTGCAGCACTGGGATGCGCAAAGTCCCCCGCTTGTGGGCCATTCCCCTTGTGCAGGCTCCGCCCCCTTTAGACGGTGAACGGCACACTGGTTTTCTTCCTGCACGGTGGGTCAGTGTGGACGAGCTGGCTGGTGGGGATGGCTAAGGAGCCCTGATTGGCTGGTGGATCCGAGGGGGTTGGTGAGTGTGGGTTCGCTGGGTGACCAGTTCGGAAGAAGCAATTTATTCAGTGAGTTTTTCTCCGCTTTCCTGTCTGCTACTGCAAATGGTTTGATCTTGTGGGAGAAAAGCTCAGCCGGCCGGAGCTCCTTTGCGTCTCTGGTTGTCACCGTTCCACAGGCCAGCTGTGCAAAAGGTCACCTCTCGTGGCGTGGGATTGTTTCTGGTTCCCCGCTCGAGAACCTGTCCGTTATCACCTGCTGCCTTTGCCTGAATCAAGGCTGGCGTCGCGACCCAGCGGCTCTTGGTGCTGAGCCTAGCTCTGAGAAAGCTGCTCTCTGGGCAAGACTTGGGCAGAGTCACCCTGAAAGTCTGATCCAAAGGGACCAACGCAGCGTTCCTCATTTTTTAGCCAGCTCTGCTGGGGACAGAGGAGGCCACATGCTGGGCTTTTGGGCTGCCGTCTACTGGGAGTGGAATAACAACTCGCTAGCTTGGGTTTGATTGGGGGCTTGGCTACGCATTGGGAAACTCCCATATGGAGCTAATCAGATTCTGCAAATGGGTACGTTGCCCCACCACAAGACTTCACCGGAGACAGACTTCAGATCCGCGTGATGGCTGTGAAAGCAAGTGGCACAAAACCGGTCCCATCACATTGCCAGAGTCATTTTAACGTACTTTTTCAGGCCATTTGCTTGTTTCTTGCTTGCAACTGGCTGTCTTATTCATGACGATTTTTTTGTTTGTTTGTTCCAGCTGCAGACTGGGTAGCTGCGAACAAAGAACTCTTCCTTTCTACTCACTACACAATCCACAACCTGGCCTCCGGAGACAAACTTCAGATCCGCGTGAAGGCTGTGAACGCAAGTGGCACCAGTGTTCCAGCCGTCCTGGAGCAGCCTGTCGTCATCAGAGAGATACTTGGTACTGTATTGTCCTCACTGCACAGAAGCGAGTTGGGGGCAACATTGTGGTAGCACAAAGAAGCCCCCATGTCTGTCATGCTCAGCTAAGGTGGAACTCTCACTACCCCTTAACTCTGCCCACTAATGCTTATACGGCTTTCCATGGTGAAATTGCTCAGATCATATTTATTGGGTACAATTCAGCCTTGATGTAAACGGAAGCAACTTCCACTGATTTTAGGGCACGGTGCTTGAGTGTTCGATGCTTCCTGAAAGGCCACCACAGGTCTCATGCAATGACCAGGTCTCCAGGCTTTCACGTGAACGTTCGAATCACTGAAATAAACCTTTGCCGTGGTATTTTGTTGTGTGGACTCACACACCTCTATTTATCCACGTCTGTAATCTCTTTGTTCACTTTGTATGCTCAGATGTGTTGCACATTCACACCCGCACGTGCAACTGTCTGTGTGCTGGAATGCTGCATGTTTATTTTGCCCAGACGGGTTAAACACAGGGTGTGTGAAACATGGACATGTGACTCTCTTTGAACTGGTTAACGAGCCGTTACCTTCCCACTTTGCAAGGCTCTTGCTCCTCTTGGAGGGCTATGAACATGCCACATCTGATGTGGGAATATAAAGTTGTTTCTCAGCTATCCAAGCGGCTAAGTCTAGACCGCAGCGCTTTTCCGGAAAAGCACTGCCGCGTCCAAAGAATGCATCCACTTTTCCGAAAAAAATTTCAGAAAAGTGGACGTGTTCTTTCGCCAATGCTGTAAACCTCGTTTTATGAAGAAGAAGGGATGGCTCGAAAGAGCAGGTTTTTCTGAAATTTGGCGCCGTGTAGACGCGCCAAATTTCGGTTCACCATTTGCGTATCTTTTTCCGACATTTCTTTGTGGTATAGACGTAGCCTGGGGCTTGTTTTCATGTTCCTGTAACTCAGAGAGCTCAGTGGAGTTTCTTTAAACACTCCCTTTGCCAAAAAAAGAAGATCGCTTCATACTTTCTGTGATCATGGTGGTGAGGGATTAGGATCAGACAATCTTGCTAGGGGACGGATGAGCCCCGTTTCCTGCAAGGTCTCTGACAGCAACTGCCCTGCTGTTTGTAATCCCATGAGCCCAAACAATGTGGCATTTTTGATGGATTTGATTTTCTATATTTTGATTGCTATGGCCACCTTAGCGTCAGCGCATTATTAGCATGTGTAGGGGCTCTGGCTGGCCTCTGCCAGCATGTTGCAGGCAGTGTTGTCTAACCTTGCTTAGAACAGATGTACACAAACGCATGTTTAATATGCCTGTAGCTAACTGCACCTTGTCAACACTTGTGTTTCCAGAAACCGAACAACTGGTAATTGTAGCTGAAATGTCCTAAGGCAGACAAGGCCTTTCTTAATGTGCTCTGAACGTGAATTAAACTAAACAAATGAAGTCCATTTATTTCTGAATGAGAGCGGCCATATAGGAGTTTAATGTGGTTTCATTCATCTACGTCTCTCGAGTACCCCTAAGGGTACTCGTACCACTGGTTGAGAAACACTGTTTTGTAGCCAAATGTTTTATTTAGATTTCTTGTTTCAAAATGGGGCTTCGCTTTTAAATCTGCCCAGTTTCAACATTTCTTTCAGGTTGAATGGAACAAGATCTTTTGGAGGGATTTTTTGGTTCAGCCTGAAAATTGACCAATCCATTCTTGGCCGAGCTCTGCTCCAGAGCAAACTGATTTTTCTGTGCCTAACGGTATATTGAGCAGCTTGATGTCTTCAGGCTTGTGTCATGCGGCCAAGTTGCAGTTTGGAGCTTCCTGGTTTCTGTTGAGCTAAAGTCTCAACCCGAGAGTGGCATGAATCCCAGTTTTGCATTTCATTCTAATCGTGTGTCTGTAACTGCTTTCCTCCGTGGCTTGGGCATGGCTTATTAACGTTTCATGTGTGTTCTGCTAAAATCTAGTGTGAGACCCGCGGCCATCACAGCGTTCCATCTGTCACCTTTCCTTTTCACTTCTTATTTATTGATGCTGCTTACGTGTTGCAACAAATTGTTTGCCGTGCTCCGAAGAGATTTTAAATAACAGCAAACCAGCAGAGAGACTGTT